TGTAATCATTAACCATATATATATATATATATATATATATATATATATATATATATATATATATATATATATATATATATATACATATACAGTGTATATATACATATATATACATATATATACTTTGCTATATATGCGTTTGTGTGGGTGTGTGTGTGTGTGTGTGTGTGTGTGTGTGTGTGTCACACACACACACACATACACATACACACACACACACACACACACACACACACACACACACACACACACACACACACACACACACATATATATATATATATATATATATCTATATATATATATATATATATATATATATTATGTATGTATGGATATACGTATACAGTGGCTTCAAGTGCACATATTCACATTTGCTGTGTGTCCCAAAATTACAAAAGCTTGAGTGCCCCTAATTCAGTTATCAGTCTGCCAAGATAAAGCTAACAACGCGTTCCTGTGAAATAGTGATCCGGAGCAAACACACACACACTAACACAATTTTAACGTAGATTTACTCAAGAATGTATCAGATGCTAATGTTCAAGACTCCGTAGCCATATTTAATTCATTTTCTTTTTTACGTCTATTACCAAACGTACACGAGTGAGTCCCACGTCAACCACTCTGTTAGATCACATTTTGACAAAAAAACTATCCAACCATGTTACAAGGGATGTCATCCACACAGCCATCTTTGACCATTTCCCAATTTCTTCAACCTTCAAAATCTGCCTTAACCGGGAAACAAGGAAGGAAATATATATAACCTACAGAGATTTTCATTCTAATTGGCCAGTTTGGGGATTCCTTAAGGCATGTATGCCGGGATTTAGTTTTCTGTTCTAATGACCCTAATATTGTTTACGATAACTTTATCACCATTTTTTTTCAGCCGGGTATGATTAATATTTTCCTGTAAAGTCTAAATCAATCAAACCAAAATCACATGACAAACCCTTTATAACTCCAGCAATAAAGGCTCTTATAAGTGAGAACAGGCACCAGCGGCTATATGCAAAACGACCAATTACATATGGAGATCAGTTCAGGCGATCGTGTAATCATCTCACTAAAGTTATTCGCTCTGCACGCAGCAAATGCTATACAGAAAAAAAAATAAGGACTAACTCAAATAACTGCAGGAACACATGATGGGAGATCATCAATTCAATTCTGAACAGAAATAATACTCATCAGAATTAAACGTTAGAAGTAGAGGAAGGTCAGTCTTGAGATTCTACTTCTCACTATATCAATAATTATTTTGTTTATGTTGCACATAATTAACATTGTCACTCACCCTTCCCACAGTTTCATGAATTACATGGGGCCTTCACACAACACAAATCTTTCATTAAATCCCGTAACTGAATCCGAACTCGCTGAGGTAGTAAATCAACTGAACAATTCTGCTCCCGGTTATGATGGTATCATAGCACCAATAATTAAATCCACTTTGCCTGCCATTTCCCGTCCCCTGCGCCACTTTTGCTCCACTTGACTGACTACGGGTATATACCCAGATAAACTCAAGACAGCAAAGGTTACTCCAGTTCACAAATCAGGTTACAAAACCAATATTCATAACTACAGACTAGTATCAGTTCTGCCCGCGATAAGGAAAATTCTGGAAAAATAAAATAATTTAAATCAGATTAGAAACTATATCATACGCAACAGTATTCTGTAAGATTGCCAGTTTGGATTTACAAGGAATAAATTAACAGAAATGGCTGTTATGTCTTATGCAAACCATATCTACACTGCCTTTGATAATAACGAATTCACTATTGCTGTATGTCTAGATTTATCAAAGGCTTTTGATACGGTTAATCACCCAATTCTGCTCTCAAAACAGTCTCATTATAGTGTAAGGGGCCCTGCTAACCGCTTGTTTCATTCACATCTATCAAACAGAAAACAGTCTGTTTCATATAATGGATCTAACTCAGATTTCCTTCCATTATCTCACGGTGTACCTCAAGGGTCTCTGTTAGGACCTCTTCTTTTTCTGATCTACATCAATGATATTGTGAAAACATCCTCGTACCTGAAATTCCTCTCATATGCTGATGACAGCAACCTCTCTGCTTCAGGTAACGATATTAATTAACTCATCAGTAACATCAATAGAGAACTATCAGTAATTAGGTTTCTTCAAACAAACTGACCCCCCTACAGTTTTGCCGGTAATTTTATAACATAAAACCTTGTCAAGGAAAACCGAAACAAGTAATGATTGACGATAAATTGCCGTGGAAAAAAGTCATACGAATAATATTCGTCAAAAAATAAATAAACAATGTGGTAGCTTGTACCATACGCGTGATTATCTCACTATAGATGTCCATAATTGCATCTACTTTTTCATTAATTTCTCCATATCTAACAACTGTAACACTGACTGGGGAGTTGTCAATGAAAGCACGTTAAAGCCCGTTATAACTGCCCAAAAACTAGGAATCCGAGCAATTGCTGGATTAGGCAAATATGACAA